CAGGGGGCCCCGGACACACCTGGGCACCTGCTGAAACTGCTAAAAATTATACTTTTCCCGCCAACGTGCCATGTCACAAGGTTGGTTTGTGGGTGAGCATCGCTCACAGCTGCTGGGTGTCGGGTCCGGTCCAGCAGCAAAACAAGGATAGAGCGCACAGATCTCCGCTACGTAGGAAATGTAACAACTGCTTCACGTTTTTTAACTAAAGGATTGATGACATTAAAAGGCCACACCCTTTGCGACATCTTAATAAATGCCATCTTGCCCAGCTGCTTCCACTGAACCCACCTGATGCTGCAGCCAACACACCTGAGCTGATAATGAAGAACAAAGGCAATGCAATAATCAAATAACAATAACAATATTTAACGCATTATCAAATATATTTACAGGCAGTATTTTGCCCTGCACTGACAATTAACAGCAGCATTTCCACTGCTTTGTGCCTCCTGCTGGCACAGCACTCCCACAAGGCGTTGATGACAGCATTTCTTGCCATCAAGACATGTCCCAGCAACAATCGGTGCTTAGGCTGACACATCTGGTACTCTCACCACACCAAACCATTGAATTAGGCAGTACTACTGAAATATTAATTAATAGCTGACACATTTAAATACAAGTGAGCCTCTACAGTAATACTCCAAGAAGTGCTCCCTTGTCAGTGTATAAAGCTGAGCAAGGAGTCTGAGTCCCCTTTTAAGTTAGGTTGTTTTCTGCTGTGTTTTTCAGAATATTTACTAATAATTTGATCAGTAAGAACCCCTTGCAGGCTATCAGAAAATTCACATAACCAGTATATTGCCCAGGTGGTTATAACAGGAACAAGACAATATGAAACCTGTAACTTTTTATTAAAAAAAAAATTAACAGCTTCAGAATAGATCAAATGTAGTAACTTCTCCAAAAAATACCAAAAGGTACAGTGTAAAGCATCTTCTCATTAAATACAAATTAGCATTTTTGATGCACTGCATCAATGTTTTGCATCTAGGCTGATGCAAAAGAATTTTTTTGTTGCATCCTGGCACATGGAAAATGTATACACTGAAACAGGATGACTGACTACACTTTACCTACTTAAATTTTAACAGTGGGACATTCATTAAAAAAAATAATTCCTACTAGTCATTAAGAAAGAAACCTTAACACCATTACATTTAGTTTACTTCTGCTAAGGTATATTTTTCAACATTGAAAATATGGGTTTAAGTCCTATTTAGCATCAGAGTGCATTTTGACTTCAAAACTATACAAAAAAAATGAAAAGCCCTTCTGCTGTCAAGTGCTCTTCAAGGCTGAAGTTGCCAGTATATGCAAGTTAACTTGGAATATGAGATAAAAATGCAAGAAAACTTCAACTCCATTCAAATGTAAATTCTTCAAGAATGTGAAAATGAGTTAAACCTGCTTCAAACACCATAAACATTCCCGGATGCAGCAAGCCAGCCACTCTTCTACCTGACTGTACCTAACCCTCCTCACCAAAGAGCAGTGTCAAGATCATCAGTGCCTGGTCTCAAAGCAATTCTGAAGAGGTGCCTCAGTTTTAGGGATTATATAAATATATATTCAGGATGCCCCAGTTGTTACTGTCCTGCAGATTCTGATGCACAGAGCTATGCTTAAAGCAGGTGGCTACATGTTCCTGCTAACACCTTACATGTGCTGGCAAAATGAGGGCTTTTCTCCAGCAACATTCCTCAGTTTCAATTTCTAGATGTCTTACCACTTTGGATCAGTTTCACATCTTACCTCTCTTTGGTACAAACAAACAAGTGCCATGAGATTGCTTGCCTCCAGCTACTTTTAAGAGCTAGAGAAAACCCTCTGGGGCAAAGTATGCAGAATGAGAATCCTGTATCTGGGAGGGTAAGAAACTCTACCGTACTGATGACTTCCTTGTGAATTGCTATTATTTTTTCCTGTTGTATTATTCATGAAATTATTGCATTAAGTTTGTAAAAAACCTTCCAAAAAGAAAAAAAAATTAAAAGTTCAAGAAGGAAAGGAGACAGAGAAGGATGATGCAGTTGAGCTATTTGGAATATAGAGGACTCTCACACTGCCTCTGCAGTATTCCTCCAATATGGTATATGATCTGGACCACTTTTAAGGATAAGAGTAGAATAGTCTCCATCCCAGTTACAAGTTTTGGGTCTCAGCTAACAGCTTTATTTGTGAATGTGAGGATGCAAAACAGTTTTCAAGAAAGGAAAAATATGGAACTTTAAAAGCACAAAGAAGTACAGAACCAATGCTCCCATGAAAAATACCGCTACATTGCTACCAAAGTATCCATGGACTGAGGCTCTGTGCTAAACTGGAGTCTGAAAGAGAGCTCAAAGGCAGTCCCTAAAAAACCCTAAAATGGGGTTTGTAATTAAACACTTAAACAATCTTTACCATAACAGAGGGGTCAAAGAACTCAGCTGGGCTACAGAATCTTTTCCAACCAGGTGATGGTGTCACTATGTTGGATCAGTTTCACTCCACTTTTTCTCTCTCGGGGTATCAAGTCTTTTACCATTCCAAGTAAAAGTAATAGAGATAGCTCTGCCACCATCTTAACAAGATGTCTGGAGAATTCTTGTGACATATGCTGTATTCTTCTGCCCACTTTTATCTCAGGGTTTTAGGTAGGTGGGTTCAATGCCCA